ATAATAAAAAAATAATTGTATAAAAGAATATATTTTAAATATTGAAAAATTATTTTATTTTATAAATTTATTTGTTTATTTATATTTTTAATAATATATATTAATTTTTATTATATTAGATAAATAAATAGATTAACCCATCAGATCTAACAAACTTTTCTATAAGTCTAAGTCTGACCTTTTTATATAAATAGAATTTCTTAAAAGTCTAAACTTGACATTTATATTAAACATGTTAACTAGGTCAGACTTTAAAAAGTCAAATCATAGGTCTCCTATATAAGATTTATCCTATTTTCATCCCTAAGACTACCAAAATCGATATCACCGTCAACACCCTCTTAATAATTGTTGTCACCTATTTTTAATCTCCTTTTTCATTATTTTTTTTCACAACACCCTTAATTAATTAATTAATTTTTTAGGTAAAAAATAATAAATGTTGAAAATTAACAAAATAAACTTTTTCCCCTTTTTTTTGTTTATAAAGGATGAATAAACATACTAGTAGATTTTAGGTGATTAATATTATTTTGTAAAATATTAATTAATTAAGTGAGAAGCATGAGACATGTAACGATCTGTCATGGTCATCACACCAATGGATTAACTACCTTCAGCAATGAAAATACAACTAACTACTTAGGATTATATACTCACAGTATTATTAGGATATGTACACTATAGCAGGTATATATGTGGATACAACTAAAAAAACTATATAAGTATATTTATAATAATCCAATAAGTATCGAATATAAAACCTTGAGTTGCCAATCAAGCAACATTTGCCAACAAAAATAGTCGTTTACTACATCGTCAACAACATAGCTCCACAACAACTCCAAAAGCCCTCTTTAGATAACCTTGTCCTGTTCCTATGAAAATCATGATCATCACAATGCAAACCACATGAAAAACACTTAAGGGTAAGCTTGATTTCAAAAAGAATACAAGTATAGAAATGAAACATTTATAATACTCACCAACATGTAAACCATCAAATCAACAACTCATGACTCACATCATACGACAATCAGCAAAATTCCAACATGTTTGAAAGCTAGACAACCAAGTCAATCAAACATTCATCACAAGCATACCACACATCAAGGTATTCACATCATGTATATGATCAATATCAACTCACACCACATCATATGCACACACCATACACAATGCATCATTATGCATTCACTTACGAAGACATCCTAATACACTTAAGTAGTCTAAGTGACTTAATCCTATTGAACCAACTTGATCACTTTCACATCCAATGTGCTCGCTAGATCAACAACTAAAATGGGATACCAATCCCTAGCTCTGATTTCTTAGGTGTCACGACTTAGATTAGGAAAGTTGGATTCCACCGTCAGGACTAGTTTCCTAGTAAAGTTGGGTATAGGTGTACTACAACCTTGACATGCATTACCAAGACACATATGGAGTTAGTCCACTAACTATCCATGAGGAATCACACAACCTTTCCAGTAATCAATTAAGAGTTGTAGTTCTCGACTTTGTACTTCACTCCACATTGACTAAGGACCTAAAGGAGACTCAACAAAATCTACTATAAGAGTTTCACACATACTTGATGAGGGTTTTCAACAATTGGCCTTCTATAGTGCCAAAACAAGATTTCCTATATAAGATCTTCAACTTTCAAACAACACTCTCTCCTTTACTCCTAAGTCAATCAATGTGTTTTAATGACTACAACATTTTCAGCATCAATGTCTCAACATACATCATCTATATACATTACCCTGTGTCAATGCATATAGAGATCAAATCACATCAATCATAATTAACATACCAATGTTATACACCTCATCCAAGACTAGTATACCAATGCTCAATGACTTATTCAATAATAGAATATTAATGCCTATTCACACTCCAATCATATAACTATAGCATATTCCTCACACATAGCATATTGATACTCACCATCATAATACATCTTATCACATTTACATATATATGTCATCACAAATCAATATATATAGACTCAAACATTCATCATACAACATGTGATAGACTCAAATACTTTATTCATATCCACCAATTCACCCCTTAAACAACATGTATAATCAGCATAACCCACACTCAACGTAACTTACCTTATGCTTGGTGCCATTGAAACAGGAAGCTCTCTGTCTCATCCACGTCTGACACCACTCAACCTACACTCAACATGATTGAAGTAGGAAACCCCTCGGACCTCATGCCTAGCGTGACAAAAACCCACGCCCATCCTTATATTAAGTAGAGAGCCTTTACCTTAATCATGCTTAGCACCACCCAATTAAGGTCCAACGTCATCAAGTTAGAGACTTTCCAGTGTTCTCACACTCGAAGCCATTCAAACCATGCCCAACATCATCCCAACTTGAGACGAGTCTCTCTTCTCACATTTGGAACCACCAATCAAGCGCCTGATGCGACATAAAAAATCTGCAAATGCAGACTTCGAAAATTGCCTCAATCCACCTAAAATCCAAAAGAACCAAGCATGCAATACATCCAACAACTTCTACTTATCATTCACAACCAAATTCCAAGTTCAAATGACACATGCAACTTAATTTGCATCATTCACCAAAATCATCCCTATAACTCCAAACACCAAAAACTCAACATGCACCCTACCTCAGATTTGTCAAACAACCAATAATTTAAAGAAATATAGGCACATACAACTCAACAATTCAATAAGAATCGAGTCTAGCTTCTCTTACCTCCCAAAGAACCAAAAGGAAGAAAAGAAAAGATGAAGAAAACTAAACTCCCCTGATGAACTCCCCTGATGGACTCCACACACTCCACAACTAAGATTTGAGGCTCTTAGAACCTGGATCACATCATACAAATAGATTAACAATCCTAGGAAAATATTATCCAATCAAGAGAAGGTTTAGGAAGAAGAAGAAAACTCATGGACTTAGAGTATTTCTCACTAGTTTATCTTTAGAATATGGGAAATTAAACTTATGAGGTTTAATTCTCAACGGAAACCTTATATACCTCATTCCCTCAAGGTCAACCAAACTTCTAACCATAGATCTTCAAAGATTAACTAGATTCTTAAGAATTCCTCAACTCTCTTAGAATCACTTCACACACCTCAAGCACATGATAAACAATTATTATCACAAAACAACAATTAATAACTTACACTGTTACAAGAAAAATGATTAATTTAAAAAACATTGAAAGATAATTTTGAAAAAACTATTTGAATTATCGATAAATTTAATGTTTGTAATTAAATTAATCAATAAAAACTAGTTAAAAGATAATAATATATAAAAATAAAGATAGTATGATATTTCATTTACATGATAAAATATAATTTATAACGATATACAATCATTATATATATTACTTTGAGTGAAATTAAACGTGAATGAAAAAATATGACAAAAAAGAAAAAAAAATCATTAAAACAAATGAATCAAGTCTTTGTATAAATAAATTATTAATTAAGTCAATGAATAATTAAATTCTTATATAATAACAAAAATTGCTTTTACTTGTAAAAATGTTTTCCACCAACCAAAGGAAGTAAACAAGTACATTGACAATATGGATATGCAACCTAACAAATTGGTACATGTATTCAATACATTGTCCTTTTTACCTCATCTAGTGTTTAAGGTTCATTTTTTTTAAAGAAAAAAATGTAAAAGGAAAAAGAAGATGAAAGAAAAAAGAGAAGAAAACGGGAAACTTTTCATACTTTTTTCTCACCCAAATTCTTGTCCTCGGAGTCAGAGTGGAAAAAAAAAAAAAGTTATTTAGGGAGAAGAAATAAACAGCATCAGGTTCTAAAGTTTTCCACAATATCTTATTTTTCATATCATAAATAAATAAATAAAAGGCCTCATACAAGAATGCACTTGTGAAAAAAAAAATTGTCTACTCGAAAGTGAGAACTGCACTTTTAAAAAACAATGTAAGAATAATTATTAATTAAAATATTAATTATTAATATTATAGTTAATTTTAGTTTTATTGTATAAGAATTTAATTTTTTTTCACAATTCTTATCTTATAATCAATATATTTTATCTTATAAATATATGTCTTATTTTAAAAAAGTCAAATCTAAAAATCTAAAAATATAGTCAAGTGTCATAGAAAAATAATAAATAAATAAATATGTATTTATTTAATTCTCTGAATTAATGATTTATTAAATTTTACATTATATTATAACTATATTTAGTATAACTGATTTATAAACTAATCGAAAATTTATAAGCAAGGTAAAACTTAAAAACTATAAATTAGGAGTTAAAAAATTTATAAAGTAATTGATGAATAAAAAATATTTGATAAGATTAATTAATAAATTAGGTTTTTTTTTAAAATAGAAAATATTACAAAGATGGTTATAATGAGGATTGAACATAGGTTCAATACTTCTAACTACCCAACTCTTCCCTGTCCAACTACAAGGCTAACTCTAGTGGTTAATCAATAAATTAGTTAATAAATATAAAATATTATAGTTATTTATTTGAGGTGAAAAAAATCAAATTAATTAATAAGGTTATAAATAAAAAAGAAGTTAAAAAAAATAAAATATATATATATATATAGCTTAAAAGCTAATGCATTTTTGGTAAGCGGCTCATGAAAATAAACTAAAAGTTATCCTTTTCGTTTGGTCTAAATTAGTAAATTTCCCTTACAACAAAATTATTAGACTTAAATCTGTCTTGCCTCTTATATATATATATAAACTAATAAATTAATAAAATTGATTTAAAAATATTATTAGAATGTAAAATTAAGAAAAGTAATTAATGTTACATTAAAAAATAATAAATATTATTAATTAATTTTGATAGATGAGATGGAGAAAATAGAGAAAGATATTTTGAAGGAATTAAGTGAGTCAAATCAAAAGGTAAAATATCCTGAAATAATTGATTTATTTTCTTTCATTCATTCTCCACACAACACATCCTTTTCTTCTCCTTCTAGAGTCTGAGCACTGGGCACAGCTACCCCCCACCCCCTCGTGCGCTCCTTCACTCTTCCATTAATACCCTTTCTCTCTCTCTCTCTCTAACAATTTTAACTTCTTTTTATATTCACACAGTTTTTCTCTACTGCCTCTTCATTTTTTCCTCTCCTCTGTCACACCAATGGTTTCTCTTCCCACGCTCCTCTCCTTCGCCGCCATCCTCGCCGGCTTCCTCCTCCTCCGCCGCGCCTCACGCCGCCGCCACCTCCGCCTGCCGCCGGGGAGCTACGGCCTCCCGTTCATCGGCGAGACGCTGCAGCTGATATCCGCGTACAAGAGCGACAATCCGGAGCCCTTCATGGACGAGCGCGTGCGGCGGTACGGACCGATCTTCTCGACGCACGTGTTCGGCGAGGCGACGGTGTTCTCGGCGGACCCTGAGACGAACCGGTTCATTCTCCAGAACGAAGGGAAGCTTCTGGACTGCAGTTATCCCGGTTCGATATCGAACCTGCTCGGGAAACACTCTCTTCTGTTGATGAAAGGCACTCTCCACAAGAGAATGCACTCACTCACCATGAGCTTCGCCAACTCCTCCATCCTCAAGGATCACCTTCTCCATCACATCGATCGCCTCATCTGCCTCAACCTGGATACCTGGTCCAATCGCGTTCTGCTCATGGAACAGGCCAAGAAGGTTCGGATGAACACTCTCACTCTCCTGATAAAATCAACTTTTCTAAAATATCTTTCAATCAAATTATCTTGTCGTATCACATTTTCTATGTAACCACTAACCACTAAATGCATGAACATTTATGTTTAATTTTTTAATTCTTCATGTTATAATATTTCTTTATCATAAAATAATATTTTATTTTTTTTTATAAAATTATCCGATATTATTAGGACCGAAATTTCATCCCGTAAATATATGTCGAATTTATATTCCAAGATTAGAATATTGCATTAAAAGTGTTTAAACTTTACTAAATCATCACCAGCGACTAAGGAGTGTTAATTCAGTTGGTTGAACGGTTTTGTAACCTTTCGATACTAAGTTTGATTCATACAAGTATGTACGTGTACTGAGTCAACTCAGCCATGGATCGCTCGAGTTTAGCTAGCTCACCTCGCCATCATCATATCATATGGGGGAGTGAGTAAGAGAGAATTGGTGGACCAGGACTGGCTTTCTGCTCCTCAATTTCTCTGATTTTATTATCTGGATCTGGTTTTGTTTGTTTATTTACTTAGTTTAAAGTTATTTAGCAACTTTTGTCTATGTGTCTAACTAGTACTTGAAAGTGTAAAGGCTTTCTCTCTCTATGCTTCTGATTGAGTATTTTTTATTTTTATTTTTATTTGGGTTGATTGGAGAAAGCTGTTTTTAATTAATTAAGTAATACGGGGGTTAGCATGTGATTGCGATGTACGTGATGGAAGTGGGGATGGTGACTCGGATTCCATGGTTCGGTACCATGTGTCCAATTTCCGTGTACATGAGCCTTTGCATCACGTTAACTTAAATGAAAAGGTTTTTCTTGGGCTGCAGAGGATAATAATCACCCTCTGCTTATAAAACGTTTGGTCATCATCATGTAGGGGTAGGGCAAGCATGCACATGTATGAATATGTTTGCATATAGTATGATATAAAACATGTGGAAAGCTAGGGATGGGGGTTGCTTTTTATTAATTCCTTTTCATCTTCTCGGTTTTTTTATTCACCAAATTGCTAAAAACGTTTATGCAATGATGACACGGATGATTATGGATAATTGTTTTGACAACAAATAATTTTGCTTGTTTGGGGTAATCACTTGCAGATAACATTTGAGCTGACAGTGAAGCAGTTGATGAGCTTTGACCCTGATGAATGGACTGAGAGTTTAAGGAAAGAGTATGTTCTTGTGATTGAAGGATTCTTCACCGTCCCTTTTCCTCTATTCTCTACCACATACCGCAGAGCCATCAAGGTACATGCACCTCAATTTCCCTCTCCTTTTTATTATTTTCAATAGTTTTCACGTGGTTAATGTTAGTTTTCCTCATTTATTTATGATACTAATACATGAGTTTTGAGGCTAATTTAATCTTATAAATATTAATTTATAAAATGAGGACAGCCTCTAATTTATATACTCTATTTTGATTTTCTATGTGCGGGTGAACATAATGAATTGACTTTGCAGGCAAGAACAAAGGTGGCAGAGGCACTAACTTTGGTAGTGAGGCAGAGGAGAAAAGAGTATGAAGATGGAAAAGAGAAAAAGAATGACATGCTTGGGGCACTGTTGGCCTCTGGTGACCACTTTTCCGACGAGCAAATAGTGGATTTTCTGTTGGCTTTGCTCGTCGCCGGTTATGAGACCACCTCTACCATAATGACTCTCGCTATCAAGTTCCTCACTGAGACTCCTCTGGCCTTGGCACAGCTCAAGGTACGTAAGCCTAAGCAAGCGCTATAGCTATTACTATTTTTTATAGGATCATGAGAATATTCGTTATTCCTTTTGTATGTCACTTATTAAAGTTTGTTAACGTAGGACTAGATTCACAAAATTAGTGGTCTACCTCACAAATCTATCTACACTCATGCATCTCATTTAATTTTCTTAAGTTCTAAGAATTTTTGTCATTATTAAAATTGCGAAATTTTGATAAAATGATTTAATTGGAGGTATACTTGGACTGAATGGTTGTGGCTGCACGAAACCCCATCACCACCACCCAGTCTATGTCCATGACCACCACCACTCCACCGTGTGGTGTGCTTCCTTTGAAACCTCATTTTCGTTATCTGATCCTATAGACTCATTGTCTCCGATGTCTCCACCCCAAATGGTATTGACTTTCAAAACATTAATAAAAGAAAACTGTTTTACTTAGAAAAATGGGTAAAACAATTAAATTTGGATTTTTTTTATTAAAAGCACATAACATTCAATATAGTCAATATAAATATCACGATTTTTAATACTAATCTTTTATTTATTACTAGTAATTCTTTGACTGTTGACTTTATTTAGGACAATCACTAATAAAACCAAATTTTGTTAAGTTGTTTCCTAATAAAAAAAAATGGTTTACTAGCACTAGTAAGCTAAATTTGGAAAAGCGAAAAAGTATGACTAAGAAATATTAATGTGAGATTCCTTTACTTGTTTTCCCTAGGACAGAGGAAAAGATTTGATGTCTGGTTTTGTTGTTTTGTGCACGTTAAATTCATTCAATTCAATTGAATTCAGACCATGGAGTTAAAGCCTGTCTCCTTAAAATTTTCACCGCAGTTTATATGGTTGAAAACATGAAACTGATCACGTCTTGGCTTGATATCGATATGTCATTAATGATCAGGTTGAGATGGTGGTCAAGGTCATTTCACCATTGTCTCCGTATTTTCACTTCCCCAATCAATTATTCTTGCTCACCGCCCGAGTCCAAGTCTTTTGTCATTTTGTGACACGATTCATCACACAATACTTGACATGCCAACAAAATCCCAACACAAGTGCTTTCAAATAATTGGATAGTCTAATTGTATTAAGAAGACTTTGATTCATATATTCTACTATACAGAAAAAGTTTCATTAGAAAAAAATAAAACTATCTTCATTAGTTTCTAAAGTAACATTATTTTTATAATCAGGATTTCACTTAACAGAGAAAATAAATGATGGTGTGAAAACGTAGTAGAAAAGTAGACAAGAAAAAAGTGATAGGAGACATTGGTGGAACCAAGAGGCAAAATTATTACTTTCAAAGCTCACGCTTGGTGTTGGTCTTTTGACCTGATCGTTCGTGTGTGGGGTGTTGAAAGACGAAAACACCCTTGCCACCATGCGTCTGCATCTGCATCATCTGCACTCTGTAGCAAGTACCTTTTGTGTTGTGCAGAACTTGTTTATCTCCTTGGACCCCTTCATGCATGGGAAGTCGTGTGGCTCTGATTTCAATGCCTATTTATGATCACACGGTCGTAATTAAGTGAAAGATGGACCATGCTATATTAGTCCCAAACCCCACGTGCTAGATGAGAATCCAATATACTATTACTAATTACTGGTTCAGATTGTTATTTGATGTTAAATAAGACTAATGGAGGATTAAATTGCATGTTCCACTATTGGTCGAAACTTTGATTGTGTTATTTGGCAGGAAGAGCATGACCAAATCAGAGCAAGGAGTGACCCACAGGCACCACTGGAATGGACGGATTACAAGTCAATGGCATTTACTCAATGCGTAAGTATACACTTGTAACTCACTCCTCAATGTTCAATTAAATTAACAGTAAGGGTATCAAGTAACAACTATACTATTAATTTGTCTGTGTTTCTAATCTTGTCCTTTCCTTTTTTTTGACTTTTAATAATTTGTGCAATATTACAGGTTGTAAATGAGACCTTGAGGGTGGCAAACATAATTGGTGGGATATTTAGGAGAACAACGACAGACATCAACATAAAAGGTAACCACCAAATTAAAAAGAAGTGTATGGAATATATAGCCTATGACACTGAACATTTCAATTTACAGCAAAGTTTCAAATGCTTCTCACATGTAATGTAGGTTACACTATTCCTAAGGGATGGAAGGTCTTTGCATCATTTCGTGCTGTGCATCTGAATCCTGAACATTATAAAGATGCACGCACATTCAATCCCTGGAGATGGCAGGTACTTCGATTTTTATTACTAACCTAAATTCAGTCACACATAAAATTATATCCTTCAGTTACTTACTTGTGATCAAAATTCATCAGAGTAACTCATCAGAATCAGCAAATCCTGGGAATGTTTATACACCGTTTGGAGGAGGACCACGGTTGTGCCCTGGCTATGAGCTAGCCAGAGTTGTACTTTCTGTCTTCCTTCACCGTTTTGTCACTCGCTTCAGGTACAAACATTTTGTATAGTTATGCATGTGTTAGTGTTTAATATATATATCACTAATATTGTGCTTTCAATTCATGGCAGTTGGGTTCCTGGTGAGGAAGATAAGTTGGTGTTTTTCCCAACAACAAGGACGCAGAAGAGGTATCCTATTATTGTGAACCGTAGAGACTAAAGAGTGCAGACCAATCTATAGCAATATCAAAATTAAGGGGACAACAGATAGAGAAGGGCAAAAAGAAAGCCGAGAGTAAATGAATTTAATAAGTTTATGTTCATTATATAGAATAAATAATAAAATTATATCTTTCAGTTTAGCAGTTCATATGTGGTTTTAATTAATTTTCTCTGCGATGCTCCACAATCACAAATGGCAAGAATTTTGACACAGTTCAACTAGATTTAAAGGTAAAGGTAGTTGTTGGATGAAATAAATAAGCAGATCATTCGATTCAACTTAATTAAATTATAACCGAAGTGGTTTATGGATTCCAAAGGCAACAAATTAAAAAATAAAATAAAATTGTGGAGACTACTCATCCATGAATGCAAGAGAACCAAAAATATGTTTCTTTTAAATTTATTGGCACCTTTATTCTTTCCATTCCTTTCACTTGCAAAAATGGAACACTAAAAGAGCCTACCCAAAAGTAAAAGTCCTTGTGGGAATTTAATGCCATTGCACAAAACGAACAAACGTAAAAAGAATGCTGTTGATTGGCCTGCTTTGATTTGTGTTACAACGCTAACGGAACAGTATTGGGTTTTTTTTTGGTACATAGAACAGTATTGGACTTGCATGTCTTTGAAGAGCAACCAAATAAAACATATATATGCATTGAATGAATGACATAGATCAAAATATAATAAAAACATCATCCTATTTTATAATAAAAGTATGCTTACATTTCATTGTATGTAAAAAAAGATAACAAAATGAGATAATTTTTAAAATTTTATAATATTCTTATTTCAAATATATTATCATTAAGAAGCTTATGATTAAGGTGAATTTTGCAAATAAATAAAAAGTAATAATTTTATAATCTAGATGTTTTATTCCATCAAGTGCACTCTGCAATAAGGATGAAGAAAATTGAGATTAAACAAAGGAATGGGTCATAATTTATCTTCTTTCATTATTCTTACAAACTAAATAAAAACACAAATTTCCCCCATTCCACTCTATACAGGCAATTCAAACGTTCATTAGGAATAAAAAAGAAATAATGAAACAAGCTTTTATCTGTTGTAAAAGATGTAGGGAGCACATGAAAGCCAATTATTTTTAAATGCGTTACAATATTTTACAAGTGTATTTATCTCTATTATAATTTAACCTACATTTTTCTCTATTTTTTATTTAAAAAATACCAGTTTAAAGCTATAAAATCCCTAATTAGACAATTTTCATGTGGAATGGTAATACATGAAGATTGAATAACTTATATACAATCTTATCAGAGGTTATCGCTTGCCAGATAAAAGATTTGACACCACATGTAGTGGAGGGGATGCCAAACTTGTGAATTTGGAATAAAAACACTTCAAACACATATTCATCAAAAACGACATACAAATGGTTAAATGGAGAGTAGAATGGACAAGAGTTGGAAGACTGCGATTGAATTTGACAACTTGTTGTATTGACTAATATGATTTTTTATTCAACAGCTCTATAACCATGTCATACCAATAAGAATATATTAGAAATGAGAGGTATCACGACAACTGTTTTTGCCCGAGACATGTAGATATTATAGAAACAATCGGTCATTATATGTTTCGTTGTCCCTTGTCTAGATTTGTCTAGAGAACCTGTGGATATACTCCCTCACATTAACAGTTTTCTGAAGGTAACTGTTGTGAGTGACTAGAAAATCTTGTCAAAACACGACTTGTTATGCACCTTAGTCACATGGTTCATATGGTGTGGTAGAAATCAACTTATCTATGAGGCTAATGAGGTATATGCAAGTGCTATTTATGCCAAGGTGCATACAATGTTGCACCATTGTGCTATAGCCTTCCATAAAGACCTGGGGATTAAAATAAATAATTTGATTCCAGTGTTCATGGTGGCTCCTACCTCATGACACAGTTGCACTTAATGTGGATGGTAGCGTGTTGGAGGACCCTTCCAAAGCAGGCCTCGATGGTCTTTGTTGTAACAGTCAATGAGAGTTTCTCTTGGATTAAATGGTTTTGACTTTGTTCTTATTAAATGGTCTTGACCTTATACAGGATGAAATGTCATTTTATCACATATTTAAAACGAGGTTATGGAGATTTATTTCTTCCTTCCTATAAAGAAATTAGAATTGCACGCTACAACGTATATTCCAAGAGAGCAATTAGTGTACAGATGCCTTGGCTAAGACACAGATGGTAGAGGATAGGCATAAGTAGAACTGATACATCAATCAACAGTTTCAGTTACAGCTAATGATGATGATTTTGATCAGCAATACGGTAACTCTTACTAGGATTATGCTACATATTTAACTTGGTCTTTTCTCTTCTTTTTTTTCTTTCCCAATCTTGTTAGGGACCTGTTTGCACCTCATACATTAAATATGACTAAACAAAGTCAAGTACACGGTAAATACCAACTTTCCTGGAATTTCTTCTGTAACACTGACATATTGAAAGGGGAGTTATGTCCCAGTGTACAATAAAGTTTGCAACCTTCTTTTTCCTATTGACGTTGATAATAAGCTAGTTTATAATGTAATAAATATGTTAACAACTTCATCCTATGAATTTCCCAAATTTTATGGACACGATTGAGGTGACTAAACCTGTGGGAGTGCAAATAGTAGGATCATAATTCAAACCACGCCAATCCTGCTAGGTTTTAGGTCATAGGCATGCTTGATTCTCTACCGCTTCTATTTGTGTTTCTCATGTAGACTCCACATGTTTAACTTTCTTTGAATGTTCAATATTTACAAGTGATCAAATAATTTACTAAATCAAATAATTTTTGATACTCCTCTTAGGCCCATCGTCCTTTGTTACCATTTGTTGATTTTATTCCACACCATGCATCCTTTACATGAATTCGATGCTTTCCCAATGCTAGAGCTACTGATTTCCAATCAGAACCATGTTGTTCGTCACAACAAATATCCACTTGATCAGAAAAAGTTACTCGTTTGGGTTTGGATGATCCTATGTGAGCAGGGTTGGGAGATTCATCAGTATCTACCTGTCTTCGTCTTCTTCCTCTGATCATCAACTTCAGTGACAATTGATTTAACTCACTATTCTCCTTATTTTTGCTTTTGTCACGCAATTTCTTCTTCTTAATCTTCATATACCTTAGCCATTATTTTCACCTTCATTGCTTTCAAGCTCATTATACTCTTTACTTTTGCTTTCTTCACTCAGTTTTTTCTTATTCCTCTTCTTCTCCTGCCATGTTCATCTTCATTGCTTTTAAGTTCATTGCAATTCTCATGTTGGCTATCTTCACCCAATTTCTTCTTCATCTTCTTACCTTGGTCATTATAATTTTCACCTCCATTGCTTTCAATAGTTCGATTAAATTGAAGCATGAAAGTATAAAAATATAGAAATTTAGACAAATGAAATTGCTAAAAAAATCATAAAATATAAACTATCAATTAAAAATTCCCAAACATGAGCATAAATAATAAGTGGAATCAATTAGAAATAATTTACGAGAAACTTCATAAATGAGTATTGGCCGATTATAAAGACACATATATAAAAGGAATTTCAGAAAGGTTATCATAGATTACCAAAAATACTAAGACAATTTTAAGATAAATGAAAAATTATAGAACAATTGGAGACTGAATTGAAGCATGAAAATATAACAGAATAGAATTTAATTTAGACAAATGAAATAGATTAAAAAAAAACATAAAATATAAACTATCAATTAAAAATGGTTAAAACCTTATTTTGGTCCCTTATAATCTTTTTTTGTTTCAATTTAGTCCCTCATTAATTTTTGGTCTCAATTTGGTTCCAAATTAATTAATTGGTTTCATTTTAGTCCTAAATTAATTAATTGGTTTCAATGTGGGACTTTCCGTCCAAATTGCTTTAACGGTGTTAACTTTTGGCCACGTGGACGCCACGTAGATGCATACGTGACATCCACGTGGATGAGAATTTTTTTGAAAACACTTGGACCCAGAACGGCCCGTTCTAAAACCAGAACGGGCCGTTCTGGGTGCATTTTGTGTGTGTTAATTTTGCATCCGGAACGGCCCGTTCCAAGTGCAAAATTAACACACCCAAAATGCACCAGAACGGCCGTTCCAGTTTCAGAACGGGTCGTTTTATTTTATTTTTTATATATAAAATATTAATAATTTTATAAAATATATATTATTAATTATATTTTAATTATGTTATTATATCCAATAAAATAAATATATTAATATTTTTTTATATTTTATTTTATTATGTTTATCTTATTAATTTTTATCATTTTATTCCTTTAATCTTAAATAAGTTGCAAAAAATTATAAAGTGATATTCCTTTTATCTTATTAATTATTATATTTTTTAATAAAATTAATTAAGAATATTGGTTTAATTGCATTTTTTATCCCTCAAGTATTACAATTGTGCAGTTTTGTGATCTCCAAGATTTTAATTGCATAATTTTAGTCCTTAAAGAATTACAATTGCGTGATTTTGGTCCTTCAATTTTTAATTGAACAATTTTAGTCCCTCAAATATCATAATAGTATGATTTTTGTTTCTCCCATTAAAAATTAATAATTTTAATATATATATATATATATATATATAATGTTTTAAAATTAAATAATTATTTATCTATTCAAATTAACGTATATTATAATTTTCGATATTATATCAATAATATTATTAATATATTTATAGATAAACTAATAATTTGATAAATATAACTTGTTATATATTAATATACTTTTACAAAAATATAAGTATATTAATTAGAAATATATATCTGATCTTATATATTTATATTTTTGTAAAAGTATATTAATATATATTAAGTTATATTTATCAAATTATTAGTTTATTTATAAAAAGGGTAAAAATATTATTGATATTAATTTATCAGTAATATTAAAATACTAATAATATATAAATTTTATTTATTTAGTAATAGTAAATATATATCATTTGATACATTAAAAAAAATAATATACGTTAATTTAAATAAACAAACAATTATATAGTTTTAAAACATTATATATATATATATTAAAATTTTAAAATTATTAAATTTTTAATGAGAAAGACTAAAATTCCACAATTATGATATTTGAGAGATTAAAATTGTTCAATTAAAAATTGTGAGACTAAAATTA